CCTTTATTTCGGCAAATTTCTACTATTTTTCCAGCGATCCGCGGAGCCTGGTAGAGGCTAGTATAATACATGTAGATGGGAAAACTGCAAGTTACTAGAAAGACATGGACAAGGGCCCAAATTGAGAATTTCAGAGTGGATTCAGTGCCTAAATATTTTGTGTGTGCAAAATCATGACAAATTTAGACAAATCTAGTCAAATCCAAGAACTAAATTGATGTGGCCTTACAAGTCAAACTGACTTGACTCTGAAGCCCTCCCACGTGTACTAGTAAATATTCTAGCTTTCAGCTTGAGTGTAGTGAGCATTGCTTTCGCAGTTGGTGTATTTCAGATCTAGACCTTTATTTAATTTTACAAAGCTGAATATTGTAACACAACTACAGAATTCAAAAGCCCCCCTGGTCTTCTATCAATTGGGAAATTCTACCTACATTGTGCTATTTGAAAGATTGACCTACCCTAACCTCAACTTTTGTCTGTCATGTTTAGATTGTCAACTTTTGAATTACAGTAAGTGTTTTAGAACACAATGTCTTACACATTGACAATTACTCATTTCACAGAGCCAGTAGTGTCTAAATGAAAGAATTCCCAGTTACGTCTAAAAGAATTGATCCATACATTTCTTAGAATGCAAATTATCATCACGGTTAAGTAAAAATTGACATAATTTTCATAAAGAGAAAATTGAAGACATAATTTGCAGATGACTAACTGAAAAAATAAATCATTCTGAAATAGATTTCAACAAAATGCTTGCTTCATGTTCAACAAAAAAGTTAAACATTTTCATGTGTAACAATGTACATGTATGCACAAGATTCAAAATTGACATTGTAGAATGTTGAATGAAAAGATAATTTGTGATCTAATAAGACACAAATCTAAAAGTCTGAATTTTTTTAGCAAGAGACATGTACTAACTTAACTAACATTAGGCCACCCCAATTCAATTTGTTGGTTCTCAGATTTAAAAAAAAATGACAGAGAAAAAAAATAAAAACAGGTCTAGGCATCCTATTATAGCCCCAAATGCAACGATAGGAGCCATGAAGTCAACACAAAAGGCTGGGTTAATACATGTATTTAAACAATAAATTTTGAACTTTAATCCAATGACTGCATTGATACATGTAGATGGAAAAACAGGAACTTTCCTCAACAGTTGGGGGCAAAATATAAGCTGATTCAGAACCAGAATCTTTTTTTTCTTTGCAAATCAGAAAAAAAAAAATTAAGAGGCAAATCCAAGAACCAACAAATTAAATTAGTGTGGCCTTACTAACTAGTTTGTCAGATTTGCTGAGCAGTATACAATCCAGAAGATTGGAGAGACAATAGAAACTGCTCTAATCTACAGGTTAGTAGACAAAAGTTTTCAGAAACTAGCTGAGAAGTTGGTAAACCCTGCAGCTGTTCCTTACCAGCTGTGCTGCTGTCCAACTTTGCATTAAACTGTGCAAAAGCTGTACATGTATGTAGCCCACTGGCAAAGAACAGCACAGTACAGGGTTAAGTAGAGTAGAGTAACACGTTAGTTAGTTTTACAGTTCTATCATTATTTGCCCTTCTTCTTGCTGTTCTCCTTGTCTTTCTTGTCTTTTTCACCTTTCTCCTCTCCAACAATAGATTTCAGAGCATCCCTGCAAAAAAAATTGCATTATTAATACATGAATCACTTGATGATGAAACTCTTTATTGTATGATTATAGTTTTACGCACAATATGTTGAACCTGGAAGTTTAAGGGAAAATTTCTGTATCTAGAAACAGAACAAAATTTAATCATACATGCTATTGAACAGCCATGTAGTCTCATCCAGGCTAGCAATGCAGGTTCAAAAACATTAAATTTTAGCCAAATAGAGAGAAAAATTGGCCATGGATTTTGGGCACCATAGAGTTCATTTGCCTGGGGAAAATTAACTCTCCTGCAGACTGACTCTACAGGAGTGGCCAATTTTTCCCTTCTTTGCTGGATTCCATGATCTAGCTAGGCCTGGTGGATGCTATCACAAATTTATAGGTTAACTGTGTTTTTCCAATGATAGGTTTTCAATGAAAGGTGAGGAAATCTACTCACTCTGTCTCCTTTATTTGTTCCTTTAGTCTCTCCTAGAAAAACAACAACAAAGCAAAGTCAGAAAAATTAACAGAATTTACAGTAACTACATGTATATTGCACCTACTGTTTGTCTGTATTACATGTAGCAATTACAGGTATCATTAACGATTGTGGCATTATTGGTGATGGAATGTCAACCAAAAAGTTCCCTACAGGTTTCTCTACAGTGTGTTGTGCCTGTACCTTGAGTTTGTGTTAGTTTCTCTACAGTGTGTTGTGCCTGTACCTTGAGTTTGTGTTAGGTTTCTCTACAGTGTGTTGTGCCTGTACCTTGAGTTTGTGTTAGGTTTCTCTACAGTGTGTTGTGCCTGTACCTTGTAAGCAGTACTCTGGGTAGTCTTGAGTTTGTGTTGTAGGTCGTGCAGCAGGGCGTGGTACCCGACTGTGTTGTGGAGAACTCGCACGTGTTTGTCACCTGCAGACACCAGGAACTTACTGCCCAGGTCAAAGGCCACAGCTGTCACTGGTTCTGGAACAAAACAATATGGAAAACATTGGTGAAAACGCCTGTATTAATGGAATGAAAAAAACACATCTGGGGGTACAATGTACTTCATCCCTTAACCTTCATGCCAAATTTCATCATTCTCATTTGGCCCAAAAAAGAAGAAATTGAATCCATTTAACGATATGGCATGAGGAGAAGAAAAACAAGGGAAAGCAATATAGATTTAAATTCCTATGGTATGAACTGAACTATAATGATTTTGTTTCTTTTTGTTAACTGTCCTGATGAAGTTGACAGACGGTCATTGAAATGTCAGCTATTGTCAAACAAGTGGTTATGAATAATTAAGATTCACTTTGCTATTCACAATATAGAATCATTTTCTGCTGGCATCACAAGACACAAGCATGGAGGTGGATGCTCAAGTTGCCTTTTCTGTGAATTGTACTTTAAACCTTGTTTTTGACATCGCAAGGTAGTATTTTAGCTACTGAGTCTCCTTTGTCCTCACTGCATTTGCAGTCAACAACTGAAGCTACATGTACTTCTGACCCTCTCAAATAACCTTTTAGCATAAAGTTTAGATGTACAGCATGTAACGTAACTACTGTGCAAAAAGGAGTATACTTTTAAACAATTGCCAATATTAAAGCATTGGAATACTGTGTACTTTACTTCAGGTACGATTCATAGAAATTCAAGTCAAGAACCTCTACATGCATGATCTGTACAACACCATTGACACAAAATGAGGTGGCAGTTGACTCAGGTTCTGGGTTTGAACCTCTGTCAAACCCCACTATTATGCCCTTGGGAAAGGGACTTAAAACCTGTTTCTTCACTCGGGTGAAAATGTGTACCTAACTTCAGTTGTGGACATTCTCTTGGATGGGGCGCAAAGCTGGAGGCCCATGTTTTGAGGAGAGAAACACCTTATTGACATTCAAAAACCCACCATAATTACCAATAATAAGAGTTATGTAAGTTATTCCCAGTAGGAGTGGTTAAAACTATACAAGTACTTACTTACAGTCTGGTCTTATGCAGCTTGACTGTACTTCCTGTAACTGGTGTGTTACACTTGAATCTGGTTTACTGGTTGTGCAAAGCAAACAAACAAACAAACAAACACCTGCGTGAACGTCTGTGAATTTCTCCTCCTCCTGCCCAGTTTCTGTAGAGTACAGGCTGATGTCATAACCCTGAGCTATAGCGAAGGATGACCCGTTGGGAGCCATGGCCACCATACACTGTGCTGGGCTGTGGAGTTCTCCCTTACTCAGCAAACTGGCCTCCTGGCCCTTCTGGTACTCAACTGTGAAATACAAAAAAAAAAAAACATTGTCGGTAGGTATAGGGATTATCTTTTTATTATCCTTTTCTATTTTTTAACTTTGGTTATCTCTTGTGATCCAACTTATATAATTATAAACAGTTTAACGAAGTAAAACTTGCATGAGGACACTTATATTTTAGATGTAAATGTTGGAAAACCGATTGTACAACGTTTCATCACTTAGGTGTCAGGTCATGAAGCTAGAAAAGGTCGATCAGCTCGAAATATTTAATATGTCCCTTGCATTGCAGGGATCAAGAAAAAAAGGCTAGGGTCAGCAGTTTTTTCTAGGGTCAGTTGGGAAACAAAACATTTTCAAGGCCTTACATGTATATCATTACACAGTAGTTGCAAAACATTATATTCAGGGGATAAAAATGTGACATAATTGCTTATCATTTGAATGTGTACAAAAAGTGTTTATTTACAAAAATTGTTAATATCCAGCCACTGTATATTTATTGGTATCAAGTTGACCTTAAAATGAGGGAAAATGTTAACATTAATAGGACAATACAAAAAGTAAATTTTCTGGTCATTTCTTCACAAAGTAAGTTAAATCCACCCTACTCCCTTGCTACAAGAGGTGCCATTTAGCTTAAGCTGGAAACAAAGCGGTCAGCCATGTTTGTTTACATTCTGTGTTTATTTTGTGGTGGCACCACAAACTGAGTAAACCTCATATGGGCTGTTTTATTACTATATAAATGTCAGAAATGTGAGATAATTGTACAAATATGTTGAAAAGTGGACATAAATCACAATCACAAACATTTGTCCATTAAAATATTTCGATTTCTGGTGCAAAAATGTTACACAATGCCCCTTTAAGACTTACTGTTGGTGTCCCAGAGTCTCCATGTCCCGTCCTTGGACACAGACACCATGCGGGTGGAGTCCACGTTGAAGTCAAAAGAGTACACCCCCGATGAATGTCCTTTCAACTCAAACGCCCTGGAGACTTCCTTAAACTCCCCTCCTTTTGTAAAGCTTACTTCCCAGACCTTCACATCTGGAGTGAAACCTGTGGGGAGACAAGATAATCATTATTAAATTTAATCTCAACTCCAGCTAATAATTTTAAGGGGTTCCTTAAGATAGTAAAAGATACAAGCATTTGCATTATGTTTACCTTCACATGGTCTAGCTAAAGAAACAGTAATACTATTCCTTTGTTTGTTTTTACTGAATAACATTCAATATTTTATAATACATATATATGAGATTATGATGACCAGCCCCTCCAACTCTGCACACACCTTGCTACATAATCAATCCTGACTAATGCCACATGAGTTACTACAATGTAGTACCATGGTGACAGTTGTCTGCTCCAGGTCAATTTGACAAAAGGAAAAGAAGAAACACAGCCAAAACATGATCATTAAATGCATGAGGCTTTTAAACGCATTTTGCACAACTTTTAATCATGATTTGCGGATTTCGAGATCTACTGAACATGTACCTGAGCAGCCGATGAACCTGCCACAGGGTGAGACAGCTGCGTGGTAGTTCTCCAATCTGATGGGTGTCAATGGTGGCCAGAAACCTCTCCCTGGATAAGACAGGCACATACGAGTTAAACATCCTGTCAACATCAGCATTTCTGCCAGATGGGCTTTTTTTAGTAGGCCTCTTTAACTGTTCATTGGGGCATTCATTAGGCCTTGAAATTAATTTTTTTCCTATTTTCCCAGCACTTTCCCGAAAATAAATTTTAATTCTTCCAAAGTGAGGATGAACTGTCACAACCTGTTTTCAGGAAGTGAACTTGGAGTCAGCTTTATTTTGCTTACGTTCTGACTTTGAGTCATGCTACAATTGCAGAGTAAATGGCAAATTTTTGGGAGCTTTTTCCAGAGCCAAAAGAAAGAAGGGTCAGACATTCTGATGTTGAGTATTTTTATATTGGCTAAAAAATGTCCCAAATTGTCTTCTTAGTTGTCCCAGTTAAGATTTTAGTGGTCATCGGCCATCGAGTTTTGAGCCCTGATTCATGATCAAGATACCCACTAACAATAACTAATAGAACATGTTCATGATACATGTACATTCAACTAAATGTAGAATGGTAACATTGGCAGGCAACTGCATAATGTTTTCCTTCACAAATTAATCTAACCTAAAATACAGTGACAGTAACTGCTCTGTTTGTTGTTACTCAAACTGTCAAACATATTCATAATACAGCGACCTAATCTCTCTCCACAATGTAAACAATCTCACTGGAGTGCTTCATGATTGTTGTAGGGACTACAAACTGCTATATTGATGCCAAATAAGTTACAAATTTGTTCAGTACATGTAGGTGTATATCAGACTCACCAGGATCTGCCCATACACAGAAGATAGGTTAGCAGTAAAAACACATAAAGAACAACTAGTCAGCATTTCATGATCACATTTCATGATAGCACTGGGCTTCTAGATTAGGGCTGGAAATATCACCTGCATATTCTGGCTAGCGCAGGTTACTTACCTTCCTGTATGAATCAAAACAAATTTGAGTTAAACTTGAGTCAAATTTGACCTCCAAATACTGCTGATCTAGTTCCAAACACCAGCCAACCATTTCCAAACCTCCCGAATATTTTAAATGACTGGTACAGCTGAACAGTAGCCAACTTTGTTAAACACTAGCCAACCACAGCCGACCTTACTCCTGACCAACTCCCAATGGTTGGTGGGAGTTGGCAGGCCAAATTTGGCCATGGGTGACAGGGGCTTTATCCGTATGCTACTAGTATCAATTGGTACTGAGTGCTTGCTTTGCAACCGGGAGGTCGTGAGTTCAAACCCCGGCCGGGTATTATCAAAGATTTTAGCACTCAGCACATATGAGAAAGAGTGTGGTAAGGTCAAACACACAGCACTACCAGCGGACAAGCCCCCTGCTGTAGTGCACTGCACAACTGTGTGTCGTCCAAGGGCTACGGAAATGGACATGGGCACCACCCTACACATGCTCTTATGCAGAGTGTAGTACAAGCATGGGAGACCTTCTTCTTCTTCTATTAGTATCAAGCAAGACTACACAGACAATACTACTACAATGTTATACAATAGTAGTATTGACAAGCAAGAGATCCATATTCTATCCAGACAGACTGCCAGTGTAGCCTATAAGCTACATGTGCATGAGCTCTAACCTCCAGGTTTGGTGTTCCAGACGTAGATGCTTGTATCAGCGAATGCAGTCATCATGAACTTCCCATTAGAGGAGATCCCCAGCCCAACAATGTCCTTGATACTTTTCTGAAATCAAGAAAAAGAGCATTTATTATTATTAATGACAAGTCAGCAGTGTTCTAATTATACCAGCATTTTGGAATTTTGCTACTCATGAAGTACACAAATTTTGCCTAATCGTCACCTTTGCCGTGTAAAAATTGGTGTGTATTGATATGGACAGAGATGTTTAAAGTATGCTTAGTCTACAGGAACATTTGCCCCTCAAAATGTATGAAATTAACGTTCTGAGGGTCAAGTTTTTAAAATTGGATCCCCATGCCGCTTAACAATTAATTCCTGGACTTTCTTTTTCCTGCACCTGTCGCCACTGTGAATATATAGTTCTATCAACATGTCCACTTTTCTCAGACATCATATGATGACTTTTTTTATTGTCGTGTCAAACAAAATTGAGAAGACAGAAAAAATCCAGGCTGGCTAGATCACTGCAAGTCAGTAAGACGACTGGTGTGCAGTACAGATGCTTTCTCCTTTCCGATACTCAATACTGTAAATCACACTTTTTTCGTGGTACTTTTATATTCACGGTCTTTGTGGACACTTCTGTACCACTAATTTATCATTAAATACTCTGCCTAATTTTTGCTGCACCTCCTGCCATTGCGAACATATAGTTCTGCAAACATCTCCATTTTTCTCAGACTGCAAAATTTTGCCACCGCGAATATGAAGTAATTTACAGTATTTTCTCTTTAATTCTATTTACTTCTTTCCCTCCTACCTGTGGAAAGTCCTGTTCCAGTGCTGACACATGAATGCCTGTTCCCCTCCCACTACCCCCCTAACACTACCCCCTCCCCACTACCCCCTCCTACATGTACATGTACCTGTGGAAAGTCCTGTTCCAGTGCTGACACATGAATGCCTGTTCCTTCGTCCTTTCTGCCGATACGGAAGACTCTGATGGTGTTCCCATTGTAAAGTGCAACAATGAAGGCCCTACAGAACATGGCATTCAAAATTTTAACAGAGTATAACCTTTACAGTTTTAGCAAGGAAGGTGGACTAACATGTTAAGAGAAATGATGATGTAAAAATGTATGATATCAATCAACTTTATTGCTCAACAACTGTAGCTGGTACAATATATGGCAAAGAAACAACAATGGTACATACACATGTACACACAAACTAATACTAAAATATGATTCTAACGAGCTAATCTATTGTGTTTTCATAGGAAGAGTATTACTAGTATTACATTCTGTAATTCAGGGGATATATCAGCTATTTACAATATGGTGTCATTTTTGTAGTGATTCAAATATGAATTTTCCAACATACACTGATAACTGAGTAGGACATGAAAGGAGCATATTAAAGATATCTGATTTTGAGTGAGGTAGCGTAACATTAGTTTTGGAAGCTATGGATTGCATCAACTTTTGTCTGTTTTCTTCATATGTTGGACATGACACCATAAAGTGGAATTCGTCTTCAATACTAATATTACCCTCCTTTCATGTCGGGCAAATGTTACATTTTAGTCTATGTACGCTTATATTGATTGATTCACATCGCCTTGTAAAAAGTAGCAAATTGATGTCGTCATGCTAGTAATATTGTGTTCTGCAATTGATAATTTTATTATTTTATGTGAGGGTCACGTCACCAGCAATAGCTGCCTGTGCCCAATTTTTATTGTGTAATTGTTACAATTCCAATCGAACGTTCAAACAATGTTACTAGTACCTGTTATCAGGACTGAACTTGACAGAAGTGGCATGATCCAACTCCACATTCACTTGGACACTCCTGTGGACACAGAGGGTAAGTTCTTTACTTACTTCTTTATGTCACCAGCAGCGTGCAAAATACCTGGTTGCCCAGTTGCCCCGGGAAAAACAAATTTTACTTGGGGCAACCTATTTTTGAACCTAGGTAGCCCAGTGTGCTACCTGAATTTTAAGAATACCCCCCCCCACCCCCCACCCCCAAATCTTGCCCACTTGGCTTGCACCACTGTATCCGGCGGATGCTTTTTAACTAAATTTTAGGCATTAATGGCTATTACTAGTATCAGTTAACTTAAGGCTGTTAGAAATAATGTCAAAGGCTTATGTATGTAACATTACTTCATTTGACTCTTTTTGAGGAAAGTAGTAACTTATAGGAGGGGCAACCTAAAATTCTGATGGGCAATCTAATTTTTGCCGTAGGTGCCCATTGGGCAACCTGGTTCAAAAAAGTATTTTGTACACTGCACCAGTAAACTTTCTAACTCAAGCCCCTGGCCTGTCACAGCTTCCAGTTTGATCATGTATATCAAAGGTAGTTCATGTGAAATGGTGCGTTAAAAATTTTTCCAGAGCAGGTTACTAGTATTTCTAATGTTAGCTGCACCTGTGCAGGAATGCAGAAAAAGGGAATTTCAAGCCCTGCCCTCACATAACAGATAGGAATACATTTGTAGTTACTGTAATGTATACAGAAAAGTTTTTAAAAAGGTGATAACAACAGTAAGACATAACTTATACTATCATGAAAGTTCATCTGTGTTGGTAGTTACATGTATAAAGTTAAAACTTTTGGTCTAACACAAAAAAATTCTCTCACTTAGAACATCGTCTACCAGATACCTTTGACCCAGTGTTGACGTCACACTTCAAAGAAGTCATGTGACAAGCCTCACTGGGTCAGTCTACTGAGGAAGACCAGAGTGACTGGTCGAAAGCTCTAGGTGAGAGAATTTTTTGTGTTTGACAAAAAGTTTTAACTTTAAACAAGACACAACTTACTTGTGCTCTTTGTCTTTCCAGTCTTTAAGACTCCAGATCCGTACAGTCCTGTCTGTGGAACATACATTGATACAACACATTTTATCAATTCATAACCAATTATCATGTTACTGCAGCAGTTTCTGATTCCATTTTATACATCATAATAGTGGACTAAGGCAAATGCAAGCAAAAATAATGTTGAACTTGAAAGGTAACATTTGCATTTAGTGAAAGCATTATGTTCAGGTACATGGCAAATGCATTATGTTTATATATGGTGACAGTCCCTCCAACTTTGTTCTGCAACTTGCTACATAATGTAACCCAACTAAATAGGCTGTCTGCAACAGCACTAGTTACTGGTTTGACAGACATACATGTATGGTTTATGTGTTTGCAGAAGAAGAAGAAGAAAACAGAGCAAAAACAATGTTTTCCTTCCAGGGTTCTAGCTAGGATTTAATTTTAGCGTAGTGGTACTGGCCGCATGTCAAGGGAGCGAAGCGACCGAGAGGGGGGATGGGGCGGAGCTTTTAAAAAATTGAGCTAAAAAAGGGCCATTTGAGGGATACCCAAAGGGAAAAAATGTTATTTCTAAGGTAAGTACAATGTATCCTTGATTGGTAATTTTTCACATTTGATCTGGCATTCTTGAACAAAGAAATTCAGTCACAATGCCCCTACGCTGTATTGAAAATTTAGCACAGGGGGTCAAAGTTATAGTGTAGGGGGTGAAAATTAATTTATAGCGTAGGGGGCCCCATACGCTACTTCGCGCTAGCTATAACCATGCCTTCTGCAAATGTAAACATAAAAGTAAGAGAAAGGGTACCAGTACTAGATAGGGCCCATGGAGTATTACTAGTACTGGGTTTCCCTTTGACAAATGTAACATATAACACAAACCTTCTGCACATGTTGCCAGGTACTTGGCATTAGTGCTGAAGTCCAGTCCCATGACCCTGCCACTGTGTCCCTTGAGTGAGGTGGCCAGTAGTGTGTGTGAGAAGGTGTGGGCTCCCGCTCGCTGTTTCAGAGCCGGCTTGGGCTTGGCTTTTCTGGGCTGTTTCTTCACTTTGCTGCTTTTCTCTTCTGCTTTCATAGAAAATAAACAAATCTTTTTTGTCATGACGCAATGCAGACATGTCGCAACACTGCTACCGGGCAGGGTTAGACAAGTCCCATTGCCCACTTGTCCAGGGCAAGTAAAGTACTGTTCGGGCAAGTGAATATCACCCTGTACTTGCCCGATTTTGTTGTATTTTTTAGATGTGGTATTGTGCCCCAGTGTTTGGAGCAAAATCACTCATTATTGTCCCATAACGTATTCCTATAATATTTCATTGATGTCAGTCAAAAGTATGAGAGAATCATTTGCAAGTCTCAAACCTCTTTATTTTGGTAAATACTGTTCAAGCATAGAACAATATATTATAAAGGGCTTTTTTTTATTTACTAAAGATTTTCCTTGCGGTAAAAATGCAAAGAAATATGTCATTTATATCTTGCATTGGGTGAAAGTGAAAAGTTGGTTCGGGCAAGTAGAAATGACCATGTACTTGCCCCATAGGGATTCTTGAAAACTTGTCCAACCCTATACCAACTTGTCTGACAGGTGTTGGACCTTTTGGCCTAGCGGTTATGGAGTTGGGGTGACTAGCTAGCAGCCCGGATCCGATTCAATTCCCAGGACCAGGAGCCCCCTAACCAAGTGTTTCAGCTCGACCAAGTGTTTGCACAATTTGTTATCTACAAATTGTTGGAATTTTTTTTATCAATTAAGCATTTGTATCTCCTGACCCAAAACAGTTTATAGCCTAAGTACAGTTGCTACTCTCAATCTCCAAGCAGAGGTTAGGGTTTGAGCTTTAGCCACTGATCAAGGTACAAATTATATGTATCCCCAGGGTATAATTTTGGGGCATTTTTTTAGGTTTTTTCATCAGATTTTCTTTGTTGGAACTGATATCTTTTTTATGCCAACCCAACATGGAAAAAGAGATGCCGGTCCAAAAACGATAAAAAATCCAAAACCCAAACCTCTGCTTGGAGTGCCCTTTGCACCTCCCCCTCCCTATAGCATGGCAAAAAAACTGTGGGTTTTGGGGGACTTCAGGGTCTTTGGGAGCTTTTAGGTGCTATTTTCTGATTGCATATAGACAATATAGCCAGCCTGGTTGAAATACCCCCGTTTTTAGAACTGGGCTAAAAATCAGAAAACAGCCGAAGACCACCAAACCCCCAGTATAAGCTTGCAACGAAGGCTACCCCCTCCCCCCACCCCTTACAACATTTAATAACCCTCTGGCCTTGCGACTTACCTGTTTTCTCGCCTTCCTGCTGTCCCTTGCCCTGCCCTACCCCGCACAGCAGTACCAGCAGCAGCACCACGGCGCCCACGGCAGCGGTCACGGCTAGAGCCGGCAGACTCGCGCTCTCCTCTGCCACGTTGTCCGCCATGTTCACTCTACTGGACTAGTCCATTATATTAGTGGGGAGTCATCAACAAATTTGCTAAAGACGAGCGGTACGATGTTTCTGTTTTTCTATGTAATAAACACGCGAAGATTATGATCTTTACTAAATCAAAACCAAGGGAGCTCAAAACCTCCTTTGTCAATATCAACTTCAAATACGAATTCTGTTGCAGCATGTAAGCTCCTTGGTTGCAGTATCAGAATGAAGGTCTCTTTTGCAGTACCTAGCAAATCCGCCAGAAGGTCTTTGATCGACCATGACTTACTTTATACTAGTACATTTATCATAGCACTATTAAGATATCATGTTTAAACCTCCTTGGTTCAAATAAGCAAGAGTACAGGGTGAAAAGAGCATAAAATGATGTTCTAGATAGAAGGCTACAAGTAGTATAATATTGTTGCAATGACATTTTTGAGCCCTGATTTTTGAGATTACAAAAATGTAACATTTAATAGATTATTCGATGGTTTTATTCTATGGGTAATAATTAAATACCAAAGAAATTTGACTCAATTTCATGAAATCCTATCTGACCATGATAACCACACATTAGCCTTGTATTTCGGTATAAAAGATTTCATAACGCACGATTACTGGACGCCTATTGCTCTGCTAGTTTTACTCCCAGCTGAAGATTGTTATTGGAAGCCGAATATTCTGCTACTTTTACTGTCAGCTGACGCTTGACTTGTCCAGACACGCGTGGACATCGCGGTTTGTTTACGTCGCTACAAGATACAAAATAACCGGGAAAGTTGGCCAGGATGTCTCAGATGAGGATCACCGACACGTTTCAGAAGGTGAAGAGACCAGGGAGGACACAGAAACAGGGAAAATTGGCGCAGATAGCCTCAAAATCTGTAGAAGGTGAGCTTAGCTTCAAGCAGATGTTACGGTGGGGTAGTGTGGATTTGTCAGTGTTTTGGTCACAGCAAGGACATTATACATTTGTACTTGGTCACAGTATATGTGTTATGATCTTCTTCCACGGCATCTACGAGAAATGTAATGGAAAGCAAATCTGATATATGTCGGACATCGAGTATTATAACCGTCTGACGCAAAAAAAATGCGTTTTATTTTTGCATCTACGTGGGTGGGCGGGGCTACAGGACCCACTGGTGAGCCAAGAAATCAAATCAAATCAAAACTTAATTGCTCGACAATTGTAGCAGGTACAATGTATGGCAAGTTCTTCACAAGTACAATATGTCAATTCGGTATCTACACTATTACTTACATCTATATAATACTATTTAACAGAGGTTATATATTCTAATACTTGTCTAATACTACACTATCTATAAACGTGATACAGTATACATTGAACATGGCTTACATAAATATGTATAGGAGACCTCTAAAACTACAGACTAATTACTACTCTATTTTGCGTATCTGATTCAGTATGGTGTAGGATATGGCATACATGATAGAGGGCCTGCATGGGGGTAGTGATTACGAATTACGCAAAATTTTCGCCGCGGCGCCAATTATGAATTACGACTTTACGCTTTGCAGCTAATGTTTTATAATACGAATTACGTTGATTTTTTCGGGTGGCTGCCTAAGACTAAAAAGGCCTGATTACGCCTTACGGAAAAGTGCATGCAGACCCCCAAGAAACCACATCCAGACAACAACAAATATAATTACATATTTGTACTACATGTAGTAGCCGTTTAAACACTGAGGGATTTTCATGGTATTCCCTCAGGGTATTCATTGTTATTAAACGACAAAGCTACAATTTGTAAAACTGGTTATAAAATGCAGTTACAATATAATAAATAGAAAAAAATGTATCCCTTGTGTTCCTTGCCCAGCCCCTGCCCAGAGTACCAGTGATGCAGCAGAGCTCCAGAGACAGACAGACATCACACTCCTCAAACAGTTCGACCTCAACCCTGACTTTGGGCCCTGCATAGGTAAGCAGCTTGTATATATAACGGTTACATATATATAGCTATAGAATACAACGTGATGCAACGTGTTGATGGAAAGTGTGTCCAAAATTGGTGTTCCGTAACAAAAAATTGTATCAACCTCAATTCTGAATCTGTTAGTATTCAAATTTTAGAACACAGCACACGCGGCATAGAATAATTCTATGGAACATTTAGGAGCCTGTATTAACAAATAAAACCCCAGGCTTAGTAGTTTATAATCTTACACAGTTACAGACCAAAACACAGGTCTGTATCGAACGTTATCCCAGCCCCTAACCAGCTAACCAACCTATCAACCGTCATAATCACCACCCACCCACCCACCATGCAACCAGAACTTTTACATGTAGGTCAAGGAGAGACACAAGCTCATAACTCATCTACCCAAAATACTCCTGTATGTACTAGTAGGTATTTCATCGGTCTCATAGTCATACTAACTGACCATGAAGAAGAATCTTCTACACCATGTACTTATTCTTTGTTTTATGCTTAGAGCGTCTGAGTTCTTATACAAATCTCTGTTTTTCTTCCCCCCAGTGTAACCCCTTTTGAACTTCCTGTCTCCAAAGCGTTCTGTTTGTTGTAAGAGTCTCCCATGTGTTAATATCTATGCCAATGTCTTTCATGTCCCGTTTAACTACATCCTTAAAGCGCAGGTGAGGACGACCACATGCTCTTGTCCCGTTGGCAAGCTCACTGTACAAGAGTTCCTTTGGGATTCTCCCGTCTGACATACGGCAAACATGTCCAAGCCAGCGGAGTCGGCGCTGTTTCAGCAGTGTGTACATACTAGGGATACAAGCACGTGTGAGAACGTCTACGTCGGTTACATAATCATTCCACTGTACCCGGAAGCAAAACTGTTATATTTTTCTTCCCGCAGGTATAACTAGACTGGAGCGGTGGGAGCGTGCTGAGAAGTTTGGGCAGACTCCACCTGTTGACATTCGAGACTTGATTGTACAGCACACAGGAGACGAGGAATACACACACTGGTAGTGGCACCTCTGCAGAACTTACTGCACCTGCATGAAACCCAGATTTTTCACCATCAGGGCTGAAAATACTGGGTGAATGTGCACCTTAGTGCACCCAAATTTGGAGCTGTGCACCCATCTTTATTCTATGGGTGCACCAATGCACCCAAATATTTTCGTAGGTTTATGTATGTAAAAGATTGTTAAATTGTATTAAAGCATAATGTTAACATGGGTCAGAAAAATAATAAAATTATTTTTGTACTACTTTTCTTGAGAAATAAAACATAATTAATTTCTGTCTTATATGGTGCACCCGAAAATTTTTTTGTGCACCTAAGTTTTTAGGTTGGGTGCACCAGTGAACCTATTCCCAAATATGAATTTCGAGCTCTGACCATTGACTGTTGTTTTTTTTTGGATGTTTTGTCAGACCTTGCTTGCAACATAATTTTGCCCATTGCAGTTGACGTCTTTTCCTACACAACATTCGAAAACTATATAGTTAGACAGGATGTTAACCTTAAATTTATGACTGTGACTTTAAACAACACATTCTGCCAAAGTGCTATGCTATGCACAATGTTTCATATACTATTAGTATTACTAAGCACAGTACAGTCATGATCAGATTCTCAATATACTGGTACTGGAGCTTAACTTTTGGCAAAACTACAAAGGTGAATTTCTTCAGTCAAGGTGGAACAACACCAAGACTTACAACATCCAATTGCTTTTCCTATAGAAAAAAAATTCAAGTGGACATCAATTAGGTTCCACCTCTACTTGAGTGTATTTGTGATCATTAAACACTACCTGTACCCAGATTTGCTGTGAAATTTCTTATCTGGGATTTCAAAGATTTGGAGATGTAAGTACATCATGATAAATATAGAATACAACACAGTGTATTCCGTATCGCCCGAGGTATCGGCCCGACTTGCGGGAGGGCCGGGACCGAGGGCGATACGGAATACACTGTGTTGTATTTTATTTATGTCATACCCACCCAAGAAAACGCGCCTTTCAATGCAAGATGAGCCAAAAGTTGGTGCCACTAAACCCTAAAAAACATCAGTTCCATCGTCCGGATTCTGTATTCGAATTTTCGAAAGGGGCACAAGCGGGTAGGGCGAAACGCGTTTGAATCGTTCTATGGAAGCCATGGAAGCATTCGATAACGGGTTCCGGACCGGGCCGTACCGTAAAGTACAGCCTGGTCCAGAACCCGTTATCGAACGTTATCGCGACCCGGGTATGATATAAATGTAATGAACATCATGTCCAAATGCTTCAATTTCTGTACTTTCTTTCTCCATGCAGCCTGTGGAATGACTACAAGCAGATGTTGTGAGGTATGGCTGGAGGGAGATCCAACCCACAGAGGGCTGGGACCGAGGTTGATGCAGAATACACAGTGCTTTATTTTTTATCCATGTCATGATCATACTCACCAAAGAAACCACACATTATAATGCAAAATGTGCTAGAAATTGAGAAAATTTAGTATCCCTAAACAAGAAAATTTGTAAAGACGTCAATTCCAATGTCTGAATCCCGCATTCAAATTTTTGAAAGCGGCACACAGAAAACACATTCAAATTATTCTTTGGAACTTTTGTAAGCCTGCATGATATAACTGTAGAACCCCGTGTCATATGGGTAGTTATCACACGGGCCAGAACATCCATATCAAACGTTATCACAGCCCAGGTATGACATAAAACAAAGTTCATGTAGGTGTTGTAATATCACAGATAGGTATAAATGATACATGTACAAACAGTCATGTACTTTTAATGGCATTATATGCAAAAAGATGTCTTCAAAAGGTTAAGGTGAGAAAACTCTGCAAAAATAGAAATACAGACAAGTCAATTCATTGAATTATCAGAAGAACCCTCTTTATTTAGTCACCATTGTAAAAGTTGTATAAGATGCAAAAAAAATCATGCAATATTACAAAGATAAAGAACTATTCTTGACAAAGGTTACATAGTATTGCCTTGGTTGGTATTACACGTACATTTAAAAGTGGTTGTGGATTTTATATTACAGTAGTGGTGAAGTAGTAGTAGCAGTAGTAGTAGTACATTGTAGTTCATAGCAACTACAACAACTATATTGTACGTACATGTATACATGCACTAGTTTGGTAAATGTAGGGTATATCTACATTTTGGGTTTTAGTTTTTACATGTAAATGTAAATGTAATGGAGGCTGGAAAATATTTTTTTTGATTAAGCTTTTTTTTTTATTTCAACTTCTTGGTTAAAACTGAATCAGCATCAGAACACTTTTTAGGGACAGCTGAGATTTTTATTTTGACAGATCGTTTTATTCCTTCTTTATTGAAATATTACAAATTATATGTATCATGGGTTTTTTCTGAAGGTCTTGTGTAGTATTATAATATTTTGTTGATACATGTAAATGTATTCTAACCTCTGTTCCAAGTATGGAAAGTGCGCAGGTTGACATATATAGTATCACTGCAAGTTCTCTTCTTGAATGAAAAAACACTTATTATATTATAATTATTACATTGTTAGTTCCTGTTTTACACTATGATGTTAAAGTAGACCAACATTCCCCTGCCATATACATGCACATGTGGTCAATGTGTTAACCACACTCTATCTGGATAAAAATGTTCGTCTTGTTCTCAATTACATTTGTCACAAGTTTCATCTACAAAACATTGCAGTTTTATGGATTTTTCTTAATGACTATGCAAGTTAGATCCTGTTTGGAATAGCTGTAATTTTTCATTATGTAGAGCAAACAAACGATCCTGAAGTTTGATAACAAGCTGCAAGGGGTCCAAACTCACGTGACTTCTTCCCGAGCACAAGCGCTATCTACCATCTACATGTCCAGATCGTGAGATAGTAAAATCGGAAGTTCTGCTGCACTACCATCATAAGCTGCCAAAAGGCCCAAAATCTAATCATTTCGAGGTCTTATCAAGACTTACATGTACCCACCTACAAGTTTCATGACAATCCATCCGAGTTCTTGAGTTATTATGCTAAATTACATACATACACACATACGTTATGGAAAACATAACCTTCTTGGCGAAGGTAACAAAGTACAAACTTTGAAGGTAATAATAGCGGTTTATTCAGCGCTTTGCAAATTTTACAGGCTCGCAGGGCCTTGAATTCTTCTGACACACATTCTTCACTCAGTTCAGAATTGTTATACTGAATGTTAAAATAAATCGCCCTTGATAATGTTGGTTATTTTAAAATACGATAAGAGATTCTTCAAAAAACTTAAAATATCTAAATATTAAAAAAAAAACAATGGTTAAAACAGGCGCCTCTGTGCCAAATGTTTTGAGAGGTTAAAAACAGTTTTTTGGATTGTAAAGGGCTAAAAGTAAAAGACTGAACCAATTAGCTTATAAAACTTAGCATCAAACACTGATTAAGGGACTTTCATATAGAACAAAATTCAACAAACATTGCAGCCAGCGATACATTAGGGACACTACAGTAGTAAATATTCAAAATATTTTGGCAATATCATGATAATATAATATGGTTAAAAATGTGTATTCTATGTTCATAAATGCATTCACTAAACAATAATACATCGGATCTCTTACTTAGACTTAGTTAATACTTCATACATCCTTTAGATAGAATAAACGTCTTTAAAAATAAAACCATTAGACATTATCCACAGTTTCTTCTGTTGTTTGAGGCTTCTTCATCTCTTCTTCATCATCATCAGAGTTGTCCGAAATATGGTCATTCGTTGACAGTGGTAGCTCGGAGTCGGAGATTTCGTGATTACCCAAATGCCCCCCTATTGGTGTGGAACTGGATTCTGCATTTGAGGAGGCGAGTGAGTCGACTTCATCACGATCTTCGCTGTTGTAGACGTGTGCAGTGACGTGGAGTTGCATCCTCATTTGGGCCGACCTCGGGATGTCGTACGAGTTTTCGGTAGCTACTGCCGCCCCATTCTCACCCCCTGGGGAGCCGGAACCGGGTTTTATATAACCCTTGGCCATGGATTCTACCACAGCGTCCAGCTCATCGTAAAGGTCCTCAAACTCTGGGCGATCGTCTTCCTCCCATTGCCAGCACCGCAGCATCATGTCGTACCTATCGGTTGGAAGTCAGTTTGGTCATATGAGTGGTCGACAGTGTTAAAAGTTTTAAGATGGAGTAGTCCAAAGATACAAATGTTTTTACCACCATTTTGCACAAAAGAGTAAATTATCCAACACCCGTCAGTATATTACCTCTAGTAAGGAACGCAATTCTAACTTTATTCAAGTGCTACTTTCTGTACACGAACCTTTTTGTTTGTTACCTCCGGGTAGGGATGTATATCCCGTGCGCGGAGGTTTTGTGGGGGAAGACGAAAATTACGTTCGCAGCAGTTTCTAGCGTTTGGCTGGACGGATATGTCTGGGACTTGGTATAAGTTTTGCTATTGGGCTGTAGATGGTGCACGTTGTTTTGGTTTTTTAGTATGTGTGTTTTAGTGCGTGAAAATGATGGGTTTAGACCACCGATGGACACCCCTTTCAGTGTGAAAGTGGACCTCAACTTTTGACCTTTGCATGTATAAGGACCATTGAGGTCTCGACCACTGATTTGACCTTTCACACAGAGGGGTGTCAGCATTCTCGATAAATTCTTTCTTTGAAACTGTTCAGATGTGAACCACATGTGCCGTCAATCAACGTCTCATTATCGTGCCTGGTGGGACCGGCTGGGGGGCCGTGTCTGAAACAGGGCTGCTATTCACACTGATATCTAAACAAACACATGGCGGCACGACCTGGATCTGAGAACTCGTGAGCATCTGTAGTACTAGTATACGAAAGCGCCGACTGTCGGCCGGAACCGGTCAAATCTAACAAACCATCATGTCTACCAAATATATCACCGCCACTTGTGCTAACCGTGGCAAATATGTCGCTGTTCTTAGCTGCCTGCCGCGGTTTGGTACCGGTTAAATCTAACAGGAATCAATGAAACCTTGCTGATAAGATTGCGATTTGTTTTCGAAAATATTATTTTGTCTCGTGTTTGTAACGTTCGCTCAAAATGAGGTTCTAAGTTTTAACCGTAACATGACAGATATGAACACGCTTCTGTGCATGTTTTGATGGGGTTTTTTTTGACGTGATTTGAACTAGTGTGGGATAAGTGGGGAGGGATGGCAGCCGCGGGGGGAAGCGTAGCGGCTTGATACATTTTCGAGAGCAAGTTCCGCGCACTGGAGTTGATTTCTCACGCGGCCGTTTGTGTAGGTGTTTGTTTACATTATCGCTGGTCGCTGAGGGTCGGGCAGCCAGATTCGCCACGGGATGCCCCCTGTCCTTTCTATTTTTGGGCTCCAGTCGGCTAGGGGGGATTAGTGATTTCACAGATCATTTAGCCAATTACAAACATTTCGAAACTTTTCGAAAAACTAAAACTGAAACTGTTTTTTATTCACATTGATTGGCAGCCAATATTCATTGCTTGGCACAAGTGATTACATGTTAAAATAGCTTGAAAAGAGATACACATTAAAAAGCACAACATTGACGATTAAAATTAAATAGATTTAAAATTTTGTAGCTCAGGTCCATTAAAACAGAGGCGGACTATTTACAAATCTTGATTGCTGAGGCTTATTGCCTGAAACAGAAAAGATTTCCTCAGTCTTTCAGTTCTGAACTTCGGAACGGAGATGTGGTTTCCATTTTCTCAGGGACCGCCGTGTGCTCTGGTGTCTGTCGCAGGGCATCAAGAATGCAAAGTGTGGCTGACATGCCGCATTTGCTTGAGCAGAGTTTTTGCTTGCAGTTTCCCGTCTGTCCTGGAGGGTGGAGAAGGGGGTTGTTTGAGTACTGTTGCCGTAGATGATTCTCGCCGCCCTTCTCTGTACAGCCTCAAGAGTGTTGTTCTGTTTTGTGTTACAGCCCACGTACACGACATTTGCATACTCTAACACAGGTCGTATCAGAGTCGTATACACAGTTTCCAGGTCCTCTGGTGGCATCCCGCCCTTCTTGAGCATGCGGAGAAAGTGAAGACGGGTTGAGCCTTTCTTTGCCATGTGTAAGATTTGGCTGTCCCACCCAAGGCTGCGGTGACGTTTGAAGCCCAGATACGTGGCACATTCAACAACCGGGACTTCTTTGCCTCCAAGTGTGAGGGGAGGTGGAACAGGTGGATTTTTTGAAAAGCACAGTCTCAACTCATAGGACTTATCCCCGTTCATAATCATATTGTTCTTGTTCGCACAGGTGTCAAGTTGCGTAGCTTCCTCTTGCATAGTTGTGTCACGTGGTATTCGCGTGAACATACACACACCCAGACACCATTCACTAATTTAAAGAACAGTCCCAACATGCACCCAACATTCTGCAACATACATTACAATACCCGGAGGTACAAAAACTACGATTTTCCTTGTTTTAGTTGTCTTTGAATCTAATTTAGTGTTTTGTTTGTTTTTATAAGTAGTATCATTGCCACTCCGTTATTTTGTTCTCTTACAGTATAAGCAGAGAGGGTCTGGCCATTCTTTTTACTGATCATCAAGAAACAATGTGAATGAAATAAAGAAAAAACAATATTGTTTTTCACGTACAGGTCTTGTTGAAGCCCAGGAGGGCGTGGTTCTCGGTATCCAGTGCGGAGTTCATCCAGAAGCGTGCGATCTAGACCCGGATAGGGCACGTTCCCTAACGTAGCGATCTCGTACAGCACCACACCAAATGACCAACTGGGTGTGAGAATAAGATTGGAATTATACAAAGCAACATGTCAGGCTATGGGCACCAACAACATGCATATAAAAACAGAAATCCTTTACCTTTATAAGCATACCAACTAATAAAGGTAAATGATGGTGCTTGCCAAGCTAATATAAGATAACTTGCATCCTAGACCTATTCAAGTCATGTACCTGCCTCAAACATTTACTGCTGTTTTCAAACGCTGTATGTATATCAAGAGACTAAGTCTATTTAATGCACTTGATCCATGTTCCATAGATCAAACTTACATGTAAGCTTATTTTGCAATTGCATTATGTCCAATTATCTTTTTATTGTTATCATGTTGGAACGTTATACTATGACACTATGTTTTGTACAGGTTTCTTTTCCAGACTACTAGTATATGATTACACTAGGAAGCTAAATGTAAGCCAATGTACATAGGATGAGGACAAAAACAAAGTAATTATACTTACACATCACTCTTGCTTGTGTATCGACCCTCTCGCAGCAGCCTTTCTGGTGCCATCCACTTCAATGGGATTTTCTGCTCCGCGTCCTGTCGCCGGTAGCCTCGCTCGTAGATGTCCGTTGTCAGGCCGAAATCTGCGATCTTCACCACCAGGTCCTCTCCTACCAGCACGTTCCGGGCGGCCAGATCACCGTGCACGTAACCAGCCTGGGAAATGTACGTCTGTTTCGAGAGGGAAGTCAGAAAACTTGCGATTCAAAAAGTCTAAATTCTAGATCAGTATGATTTAATCACATCTGAAATTATGTACATAGGTCTACAAAATGGATGAAAGTGGGCAGCAAATAAACTTTATTGTACAGAAATTGTACAAGATGCAAAGTATGGCATGTATTGGTATATAAACAATAAACAATATAACAAACAATGGGACAAATTTACCTAAAAGACTTAAATGCGTGATTAGTATATAGTATGAGATGAGAATGTACTTTACAGTCTATGGCAGCATGTCTTAAACTGTGTCAATCTTTGTATACATGTTTGTTGTGTCAGTGCTAATACTATATGTACGTGTGGAGTGTCAGCCTACCATTCCATTTGCTATCTGCCGCGCTACTTGGTAGACCTCCATCGCATTGAAGTCATACATACTGTCTCGGAGCCTCTCATGCAACTGTGTTGTGGATTTACATAATGAGATCGAGCTAGAGTCAGCATGAATATAATTTGGCTCTATCATAACTTATTATAAGGCATGCCAACACCAGCCCCCAAAGAGACATTTTCAAACAGTAACTTTTGGTAACTTTCAAATCACAAATCTATGCATAAGGGCTGACTAGAAAACAAAACAATGATCAAAATGTGGTTTTGGAAAGATGAGATACATTAGGTAAGAGAGGGCCAACAGCTATTCTCAATTCGGAAAGATGAGATACATTAAGTAAGAGAGGGCCAACAGCTATTCTCTATGTGGAAAATTGAGATGCATTAAGTAAGAGATGGCCAACAGCTATTCTCTATGTGGAAAATTGAGATACATTAAGTAAGAGAGGGCCAACAGCTATTCTCTATGTGGAAAATTGAGATTCATTAAGTAAGAGAGGGCCAACAGCTATTCTCTATGTGGAAAAAAGAGATCCAATAGGTAAGAGAGGGCCAACAGCTATTCTCAATGTGGAAAAATGAGATACATTAAGAAAGAGTGGACCAACAGCTATTTTCACTCTACTTAGGCACACACATTGCAATCATTGTTGCTAATAATAACAACAGACATATGCACATTTGGCACATAACATATAGTACTTTTTTCTTTGAAATTCAGTTTCACATTTGTTATAGACATTGAGTCCTTACACTTAATGACAGGATAGACAACAACTTACCGAATCAGATATGATATGAATATGATTTTCAAAGGATGTATTTACCTTCCTGCACTTGAGTAGGAAGTTCTTGAGGTCTCCATACGGCATGTACTCCGTCACCAGGAAGGGAGGGTGTGATACTGTACAGCAGCCCACAAGACCCAACAGGTTGATATGCTGCCTCAGGGTGATGGTGGTGTCCATCTCACGTATGAAATTTTTGATTTCCTCTTCCCCTGCATCTTCTGCAACAAGAAAAGTGTCGTCAATTAACCCGTCACCCCTACTCCCCAATGGTATAGCTCAAGCTATCCAATTCATATGCAATTTATCCGACTCCATCAGTCTAGCATGGTTTTGCATGTGACAATGCATAGCCCAACGAACCAAGCCCCAAACTACCAAACAACCCTGGAACCAACCATTAATTATATAAACCCGGCAAAAATTAAGGATTTCTTTGGGCATGTAGCTTTACTGGTAAAATTGCCAAGGAGATAGAGTGCTCGCCTTGCATTTATAATAGGAAGGTTTGGGGTTCGAACATGGCCTAAGTCAAACCCAAGACTTTGAAAATGGTACAGGCTGCTTCCTCTGATTAGCACTCAGTACTAAATGATAAGATTTCTGTATCACGTACAAACCCACGGTTGATCAGCCCCTACTGTTGGCTTGATAAAAACGAAGATGGACAATGCACCTACACGCCGAAAAGTTCAGACCTGTGGCATTTTGTTCTGTCTTCCTGGTATGACAAGGACCGAAGGAGATTATACGTTGTATAACATGAGTTAGCATTGAAAAAGTAATGTTTCAGACAAGGGCCAAAGAGAGTCGGCAGCTAAACTTATTTCCGAGCCTGGTTTCCTTAAATCTATTTATAAAATAGATTTAAGGAAACCAGGCTCGGAAAATAAGTCAGCCAATCTCCGTATGTGGGTAAAGATACAGTATCGTCTTATAAATGACATCTGATAACCCTACCATGGACAGTTTTGACCACCACGGTTTGTTCGGTGAGAAGACCGTCAACAGCCCTCTTTAAAGTGGCGAGGAAGACGATACCGAAGGCACCTCTGCCGATCTGTTCGTTCAGTTGTAGATCAGTCGGGTTCACCTCGTACTCCAGGAACTGTGGCCGAGCAGGCACAGGCGGGGGAAGTGGGGATGGTGGCCTGTTCACACCTGTACGTAATTCTGGGAACAAAAGCAGTGTAGCAACATACTTTTATTCAGTACGTAATGTCTGTGTAATACTGCATGACTACATCAAATATAACTCCATTAATGTCTTACTGACACCACAAAACATGACACTGTAGTTGTGTTCGAAGATTGACTCCGGGAGGTATTAACAATGCAACATTTTAGCATAATTTTGGTCCATTCTTTCTGTAACAATAATATATTTAAGGGTAGATCTTGTACTATCATGACAGTTCATCTGTGGTATAGTTACATGTTTAAAGTTATAACAGTTGCCTATCCATACTGCGCAATCATTGGATCATCCTTCATTAGTTATGGGGCAGTGCCGAAGTCGCGCGGCGTGGCCAGTCCTCTGGATGTCAAGAAGTCTTAGACTCTGTTCCAAGACCTGGGTGGGGTGGGTGGGTATTTAAGTACCATTCATCTTTCAAATTTGCTTCTCTACACCCATTCCCTCAACACCACCCTACCCAAGGACCGGCCGACACCACGCTCCCCGGCGGTGCGGATGGATCCAATGAAGAATGGCAGTGTGCTCCGTCTACTACCTCCTTTTATGGGATTGATTATAACGTCATTTCGGATTTAACCAATGAGAGCGCAGTAAGGATAGTTGCCTATCCATACTG